CTCCCCCCACATCATTCCCCTCGTCCCCTCATGGCTCTTACAAGCTCCCCTCGCCAGGCCGTCTGTGTTCCCACGGCGAGTCCGTTCTCTGGAGTTAGTTTTATGAATATATTATCATAGGTAATACACGGTCCGCTGTCACAGTGATGTTGCTACCACGAGAGAGAGAGAGAGAGAGAGAGAGAGAGAGAGAGAAGAGAGAGAGAGAGAGAGAGAGAGAGAGAGAGAGAGAGAGAGAGAGAGAGGGAGGGAGAGAGGGAGGGAGGAGAGAGGAGGGAGGGGAGAGAGGGAGGGAGAGAGGGAGAAGAGAGAGGGAGAGGAGGAAGAGGGAGAGAGAGAGGGAGAGAGAGAGGGAGAGAGAGAGGAGAGAGGAGAGAGAGAGGGGGAGAGAGGAGAGAGAGAGAGAGAGAGAGAGGGGAGAGAGAGGGAGAGAGAGAGAGAGAGAGAGAGAGAGAGAGAGAGAGAGAGAAATTTCAGAGTGTTCTGTTGGGGAAATGAGTTGGGCTGGAGAGGGAGCCAGCATGATAGTGTGACGGACAGGGGTGTGATTGAGAGCCATAAAATAATGTGGGTGTAGGTGTGGAAGGAGGAGCAGGTGGTTGGCTGCTTGCCTCCCCTCCCGTGCCAAGTTCGACGGACACGAACGTCCGTGCTAGGCTCCACGGAGCGTCCTTTTGAATCGGCTCCTCGAATGAACATTTCACGAATACCGAAAGAAATGCCAGTAATGTTTATCTCTTGGGCTGAAAATCCGCAGTAACTTAGTATGGAAATTATAGTATGCATGTTGCTCTTTAATATCACAGTGTTCCCATCAACACAGTAGCAGTGTTATCAAACGATATCCTTTCCCATTTTCCTTCTCCTCTTTTTCCTCTCCCCTTTTCCCTTTTCGTGGTTGAAATTTCAAGATGCGCGAGACAGCCCACCTCCAAACGTTGTGATCACTGGAGATTATCTGGCGTTAGTAAAGTTTCTCAATTCATAAAGTGGTTGAAATGGGTTTTCAGGCTGTGAGTATAACCGGATGAAGCTTTTACTGAGCGAAACGTGTTTTAATGAAGGTTTGTTCTGTCTACGTGTCAGCTTACTGCCTGTCTGAGGTTGTCTTGTGATGTGTTCTGAAGTTCCTTTTCTATAGCCTTTGTCTTTCACATTGTCTCCCGTCGGTGGTGGTGGGAAGGTCAGGTCAGAGTTGTAATGGCACAATGAGGTGATTTTTTTTATGATGTCAGTGGCCTCTGGCACTCTTAGATTGTATGTTATTTTTATTTTGTTTGCGTCCTGATTTATTTCTGGCATGAGATCGTTGGCACACGAGCGGGGTTGCTTGCAGTGTCACTTATTCAGTGCCTCGGGAATGCAAGTTTGATTAAACTTAGTTGAACTGGGTAGCATAGTTTTGCCAACAATATTGCTCAAGTCTGCTGGGGAGGGCAGGGGAGGTGGGGGTGATGGCCGGAAGCGTTTGGCTGGGGTAACAGGGGTGACACATGAACTCCCTGGTAGCGGGTTTGACTGTTCCTCCGCCCCCACCCTCTATCCCCTCCCCATCTTCACCCAGGAAGGAGTGAGGAGGGGAGTGTGAGGTCGTACCCTCCTCGTTGTTCAGGTCTCACCACTACCTCTCCCCCATTCCCCTAACCACGGCACGACCACCTTTTCCAACAAGCGTGAGCCTTTTCCGTGTCTAGGGTTCATGAGCTCTTCGTGGCAGGTCTTCTGCCCGCTTTCACAACAGGTTTCCTAGTCTCTTTTGGGATCCCTTCTGCATCCTGTTTGGCTTATTCCCGTATTCTTCCCACTCGTTCTGAAACTCGTTATCCTTCTACCAGTGAAAAAAAAAATAGAAGAGTTGCTGGAACAAAGTGTAAAAGAGGTGACGAACTCCGGCAGGTGTCAAGTCAACCAAGCTTTTTTTTTTTTAAGCCATGCAGGCTCGCGTCCCACAGGCAACAAGAACTTGTGGTCGCAGACCGAGGTGTGAGAGCAGACAAAAAACTCGAAAACCGGCCCCAGGTAAACCACAGGTTTTACTACCATCATAGCCTGACCCCCCCCCCCTTTCTTTTTTATTTATGGAACATGTTTGGATACACCCGCAGTGTGCGGCTACCATATTTCGTAGGATAGTAACATTGTGGGAGGATGGAGGTCCTTCGTCAGAAAACAACAACGTTTCCTAACACGGGTCTTCACCCCCTTCACAGGTTCAGCATCTGCTGACCTACGCCAGCTAATTTTTATAGCTTCAATTAAAAAAACTAAACATCACTACATAGCAGAATATCTTAGGATAATCACTGCTGGGAGAAAACGCATGGTTTCCGCAATCCGACGTTAGGGGGCTCGGGTGGGGGATGCCAGACGACACTTTGAGTGTAGCTCAGACCTCCACGGCTGATAGAGACCACATCGACGGATCCTCTTACAGTCAGCTGTGGTTGCGGGAGGTGAGTTTACCCTCTCCAACACCCGTTACCCACCCTCCTCCATGCACTCCCGTACATTCACACCATCTGCCATATTGTACATCCCTACCGCCCACCTTCCTGTACATCCCCACTGCTCGCCGTTCTACATTCTTATCTGCTTCCACATCCCTACTACCCATCCTCCATATCCCACCGCTTGATATTCGGGGTTAGAAAAACTCGGAACTCATCATAGGTAAAGGGGTCTTTTGGTAATTTCCCTTATGTCTGGTAGAATGCTGTTGAACAGTCTTGGGCCTCGGACACTTATTGTGTTTTCTCTTAGTGTACGCATGGCACCCCTGCTTTTCATTGGGGTATGTTGCACCGTTTGCCTAGTCTTTTGCTTTCGTAGGAAGTGATTTCTGTGTGCAGATTTGGGACGAGTCTTTCTAGGACTTTTCACGTGTACATTATAATGTATCTCTCTCGCCTGCACTCCAGTGAGTACAGGTCAAGAGACTCCAAACATTCCCGGTAATTAAGGTACTTGGCTGAACTTGTGCAATGAAGGTTCTTTACATTCTCTAGATCTGCGATTTCATCTACCTTGTATGAAGCTGTTAATTTACAGCAGTATTCCAGTGTCTCTTTATTGTCTGGGTCCCGACCTTATTTTGCTTCAAAGTAAAAAATTCCTTTTTATAAGTCAAAGTGTTTAGTAGTCTGTAAGTCAACACTGATTATATTGAATTTTATGGTTCTGTTATTTTATTGCTCTGAATGTTTTACTTATTATGTATCTTGAAGCTGATTAGGCCCTGATCCACCAGGAGGCCTGGTCTGGGACCGGGCCGCGGGGGCGCTGATGCCTGAAAATATCCTTCAGGTATTTCACATATTTTTGTGATATGCATATTTCGGATTGAACACAGCCCTCCCTTCTCCACATCATCCTTCCTTTGCTCTACATCCCCACTACCCTCCCTTCTCCACATTCCCACCACCCTCCCTCCACATCCCCACTACCCTCTGTTAAGAGAATCAACCGCCGGCGAAGCTTCGACCAGGCGGTAATGCCGTTAGGATTATTGAGGTTCATTCCTGCGGGTGGGTCTTCTGCAGCAGGGAGATCCTACACGCCGGAGGTGCAAGACATGGAAGATTTCCAGCGAAGGATGGGGGAGGAGGGTCATGGGGAGGTATAGTTTAGAGGTGTTGTGGCTTTGTAGCGGTGGTAGTAGAGGTGATTGGTGGGGGTGGTGGTGGTGTTAGTAGAAGTTAGTAGTGATGACGGTAGTGGTGATAGCCCTGGTGATTGCTTTTGTCTTTACCTTTGAGTGGAGTTTCGAGATTTTTCATACTCCTGGAGTCCTGTCCTGGGCCAGGCTTGCTCAGTCAACCAGGCTGTTGCTGCCGACGGCTCACTGTTAGTGATGGTAGTGGCAACGATGGTGACAGTGATATTAATATTGTAGTGTTAATGGTGGTTGGGATGATTGTACTGATGACAGTGGTGGTGAGAGTCGTGGTTTGGTTAAGTTCATAGAAGGGGCTCTGGAACCCATTGGCGGCGGCGGCAGCAGTGGTGATAAGTGATGAATCTGGCTTGCGAGACTAGGTCACTGCTAGTGGACGGGTCTGGGAGGTAGGTAGGTCACAGGGGTTAGCACGGCCCACATCACAGTGTACCGACGGTGCTGCAGGTGCCGGTGATAAACTCCGGGGTCAGAGTTACTCGTGTAAAATGGGTTGCCATCACCAAGAAAAACCGGGTCTGTGAAGCGAAAAAAAAGCATCGATACAGGTCAAATGTAAATTATGCAGTTTCCTGCATGGAGATTGAGAGAGAAGGAGGGGGGAGGGGGGCAAATGAAAGCATGGGGCAAGCACTACCCGACATTCTCGTTCTTCAAGAAATAACTTACAAAATGTGAATGACACGTATGATTGCCAGAGCCATGATATAAATCTGCCACATCAAGCATGCTGGACAAATGAGTCAGCCAGGAGGTACAATCTGCTTAAGTTGTCCAACATGATTTCAAGTTTTGTTTACCCGTGACAAAGGCTCGACCTCCCTCCCGCCCTGTTCCAAATCCGTCGTGATGGAGAGAACGAGGAGGAGTTGGGGAAGGGGTGTGGAAGTGGAGGAGGAGGGATGGGGATATCCCTATATACTGTCCAACATTGGAGGTTCTTTGTATTGACTCCCCGAGTTTGGGTGCTTCTGGTCCAGCCTCAGTGGAAACGAGTTTCTCAGTTTTCTGATATTCAAACTTTTGGGTCGTGGGAAATGAATGTTCTTTCTTGCTATAGCTTAGTTTTTTAATAGTAATAATATTATTTATTTCTTATTAATATTTATTGTACCATAATTCATTTGTATTATTAGTTTTAATATTACTATTACTTTATTATTTTTTACCAATAATTCATTTATTTATTATAATATTAATATTGCTTATTATCATTTTATTTTGACACTCTTAATTTAAAATAACATCATTATCTATTATTATTGATTTTTTTATTTTTTTAGTGTTGATATTAATGCCTGTCATTTATTTCTTGTGTCTTCTGTAGTGGGGAGAGAGTTTGGTGTTGCACCTCCCGTCACCATTTGCCTTGCCACTGTTGAATCGCTGGCCGCTCACACTTTGGCTGCTTGGCCGCAATTCTATCTCAGTAAGTTCGCCTGGTGTTTATACAAGTAGTCTCTCGGTACTGGTAAATAAGTATGATCTTTGTCTTGTACGAGTATAAAGTATATTTAGAGTGTATTGGTATCTCTGTTGATGCTACAGTTTGCCTCTACTGGTCTGTAATTTTTTTCCCCTTCAGTAAAAAATATAATGTATGTAGTTTCTTGCACTGCCGTTGACTTCACGTCCTGACGGCTGCGTATTTTGGAATTTGTGGATATATATTTTTTTTTTTTTGTGATCGCCATCTGGCGATACTTCTGCCCGCTCCGACGATTTACAAGCGAGGTAAACTCGTATTGATCTAGTGTTCCATTTACTCAGCGGGAGAATGTGGGAATGGGAGGGAGAAATGGGAGGGGAAGGATAAGTGGGAGTTTTTTTTTTTTTTTGTGTGTTCTTTGTGCCCATTTCTGCTAAGCCTCACTGCACTAGCCCAGTTCCCCCCCCCACCCCAACCCACGCTCCCCATCCCTCCTAGTCTTCCCCACTATCTTTACCACGTGGAGCGCCGTATAACAGTTTTAGCAATAAACCTGTAAGGGTTATTACAAGACTTGAAAAAAGGGAGGTAATCAGGTTTCATCTAAGTCATGGGAAAGTCGCCCAAATTATTTAGTTCAAAATCCCTTCACTAACATCAAGACATATCAAAACGGTATAAGAAACATGAGCGGTGTCCCGTGGCCTGGTAAGCAACGCTCTGGCCTCAAACACTTGAGTGTCCATGGTTCGATCCCCGGCCTGGTAGAAATATTGGGTGTGCTTTCTTACACCTGCTGTCCCTGTTCATCTAATAGTAAGTAGGAACCTGAGTGTTAGTCGACTGTTATGGGTCGCATCCTGGGGGACACGATTGAAGGACCACAGTGGAAATAACACAGTCCTCGATGACGCACTGACTTTCTTGGGTTATCCTGGGTGGCTAACCCTTCCCCTCCCCCCACCCCTTCCTTCTCCACCTCTTCCTTCCCCCCTGTCCCTCCCCCGGGGTCAAAGAGCTGGATCTAATGGAGAGTAGTATTATAGAGCCTTGCATCCTGCCGCTCTCTGCATGCGGCTGGCACCAATAGCCTGGTCGATCAGGCCAGCAACCTGGGACCGGGTCGCCATGACGGTGACCCCCCCTGGACTTGGACTCCAGGTAGACTCATCATCACAACACGACACAGAGTTGAACGTTGCCTGCTCTTCCCTCAGACACCACGTTTTTTTTTTATATAGATTTGGGTAACCTAATTTGACAAAGAAGAAAAAAAAAGCACATGTTGTTAACGTTCAGAAATTGACGCTGGGAATCGCCCAAGAAAACAAACAGTTTTAAATGAAGATAGATGCTGTGAGGGAAGCTGGGGGGTTGGTTCCAAGGTAATCTTACACTGCCAGCTGATGACCTGGAATCCTGGCCGTGTTTTTGTATAGCTGATGCCACGAGGCAGGTTTACCAAGTATGTTCTTCTCGAGTGTGTATTAACAAGCGCGTTCTCTTATCCACTTAAGAATTCTGTGGTGGGATGTGGTAGCCGCCATGGGTATTGACAAGCCTCTTGGACGTGCACAGATTACAACCTCAGAATGTTCCTTTCATCAGAAGGAGACTCGGTGAAAACACGGATTTACTATCTCTCCATTTATGTCGGGTATTGGTTATTAGTGGGATAAATTGGCTGCAGTTTGTATGAAGAGCTGAATTGGGTTATGGAGAGGAGTGGATGGCGGTGGTGTTTTTGTCCGCCTCGGAGGTAATCTTTCCCGAGGGGTATTGACTGTCTTGCCCGAGTGCACTTAGCCCTGCCTGCACCCCCTGGAGTTCCCTCTCCCACTTTAGGGGCTGCCCTTTCTCCTTCCATTTACTTTGTGTTCGATTTCCGTTCCCTCTGTCAGTATTAAAGCTTATCACGTGTATTACACAACCAGTTTTCTCAGTTCACGTCGGGAGGGAGTATTCAGTGGCTCTTCAGGTTTATTCGACAGTGTTAATGTACGAACCAACATCACCTCGGTCGATACCGACGGCCTATTCATCTCCGAACGGTTGTTCAGATATTTATTAATGGCCTTTAAGAACGGACTTCTAATCCTCAGACAAGCCTTATTGGCCGCTTGTCCACGCTGGGACTCAGGGCAGAGGGGCTGGGGTTCTCCGGGGAAAGGGGGCGTCAAAGGGGTTCTGTTTGTGAACGTGGACATAGTTTACCAATTGTAATGAAAGGAGAGAGGGAATGGGGAGTGTTGGTCTCGTGACATTTGAGGCGGAGGGAGAGATTTGGTCTCGTGGCATCTGTGAGGACAGAAGGGGATACTTGGTCTCGTTCCATCTGTGAAGGGAAGGTGATACTTGGTCTCGTGCCATCTGTGAAGGGGAAGGGGATACATGTACCTGGTCTCGTGCCATCTGTGAAGGGGTGTGGGGTGAGTTGTACTGTTCTGGGTGAAGACTTTCAGTAAGAACATCTCAGGGCTTGATTAACCGTAGGGAAGTAGGTTGAAATTAGCCATCCATTTCACCATTACCATTCCCTTTCATATAGCTACCAAACCTCTTCCACACTACCACCTCTACTTTTCTCTACGCCTGCACCTTCTGCACCACCAGCCAACCTCCACAACTTCCACGTCAGATGCCCAAACCACCGCCATTCGTGTGAATGGTAGACCCTTCCTGCGTAATCTTGGCGGTTTTCCTGGCTAGTACTTCCCCATCACCTGTCCCGGGGTGACACGACGTACGTAACTTTTCTTTCCTCTTGACCCTGGGGGGAGGAACTCCAGGGAAAGAAGAGGAGGAGGTTGAGTTCTTGCTTGGAGGGTTGCCAGCTTCCCTCTACACCAACCGCAAATGATGGTTCTTCCTCCTCATTTATTTTCTCTTGGCAACTTTCTGTTCACCTACAGCTCATCCTCGTACACTTCTTAAGATAACTTCCCTGCCACATTCTCTCTCTCTCTCTCTCTCTCTCTCTCTCTCTCTCTCTCTCTCTCTCTCTTCTCTCTCTCTCTCTCTCTCTCTCTCTCTCTCTCTCTCTCTCTCTCTCTCGTGTAGTGGATATTTGTGATTATATTTTCATTATTCTCTGTTACGGTAATTTTAATGAATGTGGTTATGGCTCTAGTTTGTTCACGACTGCTTGAAAAAATCCAGATGGGAGTTATGGAGTGTTTTGATTCAGATTTAATGACACAAGGCACGCGTCTAACGCCCTTCCCGAGCCCTCTCTCAGGGGACGGCTTGTGCGTGTGTTTATAACGTTGAAGGAGGTTTCTAGGACTGTAATGAGTAAATATAAGGATGGGAAGAGAGCGAGGACGTGCGAGTGCTCTCTCTCTCTCTCTCTCTCTCTCTCTATCTATCTATCTATCTATCTATCTGTCTATCTATTTATGTTTTGCTGGAGGATGTGGTCTGTGAAACTGAAAAAAAATTCTTGAGTTTTTTTTAATATGAATGTGTGTTTTCGGCCGGATGTTTTGGAAAATACTCTCGCCCATTACTGTTAATGTTGTCATTGTTATCATTGGCAAGTAGTGGTGGTGGCAGTAGCCGTAGTGGTAGTAGTAATGGTAGCAGTAGTACAAATGTTGGAAGTTGTTTAGTGATAGTAATCCGTAGCGATCGTGGTAGCCGTAGTGTTGATGGTGGTAGTAGTAGTAGTGTTGATAGTGGTAGTAGTAGTAGTAGTGTTGATGGTGGTAGTAGTAGTAGTAGTGTTGATGGTGGTAGAAGTAGTGTTGATGGTGGTAGTAGTAGTAGTGTTGATGGTGGTGGTAGTAGTAGTAGTGGTGGTGTTGGTGGTAGTTGTGGATTTCTTTACCTAAATGCTACCGCATCATTTACAAGCATTGATCCCCTTCAATAGGGAACAAAGGGTACATTGATGTTATTGAACGTCTCTTAATCTAAGGAATTAGCTCTATATTACCCTTGATTATAATAATAATTAACAATAATATAAAACATGTACAGTCAATAATTAGTCATACAACGGGTGGAATTAGAACTGAACGGGAGTTCAGTTCTAATCCCCTGGATCCAGAGCCTCTTGCCAGCATCAAGACATCACTTTAAAACAGCAGCTCTTAGCCTTCTCGTGTGCTCGTACCCCTCAGTTAAGTTTTTTCGTACCCCCTATCTAAACTAACCTAAAAACTATTTTTGGGCAAATTTCTCAATTTTTACAGTAAAAAATAAATGTGAGGGTGGAGTGGGAAAAAAATAAATGTGAGGGAGGAGTGGGAAAAAAATAAATGTGAGGGTGGAGTGAAAAAAGCTGTCTGGGAACGCTTGGAAGCACTTGACTTGTACTCGTTGGAACGCAGGAGGGAGAGATATATCATAATCTACACTTGGAAAATCTTGGAAGGAATGGTCCCAAATCTGCACACAGAAATCACTCCCTACGAAAGTAAAAGACTGGGCAGGCGATGCAAAATGCCGCCAATAAAAAGTAGGGGCGCCATTGGTACACTAAGAGAAAACACCATAAGTGTCCGGGGCCCAAAACTGTTCAACAGCCTCCCATCAAGCATTAGGGGAATTGCCAATAAACCCCTGGCTGCCTTCAAGAGAGAGCTGACAGATACCTAAAGTCGTGCCGGATCAGCCGGGCTGTCCTCGTACGTCGGACTGCGTGCGGCCAGCAGTAACAGCCTAGTTGACAGGCCCTGATCCATCGGGAGGCCTGGTCATGGACCGGGCCGCGGGGGCGTTGATCCCCGGAATAACCTCCAGGTAACCTACCTACCCGGTCCACGACCAGGCCTCCCGATGGATCAGGGCCTGATCAACTAGGCTGTTACTGCTGGCCGCACGCAGTCCGACGTACGAGCCACAGCCCGGCTGTGGCAAATAGCACGAGAATCTCCAAAGATTTTTGTAACCTGTTACATAATAATAATAATAATAATAATAATAATAATAATAATAATAATAATAATAATAATAATCGTCTCCTGAAAAGGTGTATCGTTGAATGTCAAAAAAAA